ATATTCAATTCAATTCAAAAATACTTTATTAATCCCAGAGAGAAATTATTTGTTGTTGATGGCTGTAGACAGGAAGGATCTCTTATAAAGGTCCATCCCACAGTGGATCCTAAGAAACTGGTTGCAGATGCCGTCCGATCCGTCCACCCAGACTTGGCTGGCCTCTCGGTGCCCCTCGGACTGTAGGACCGTCCAAATGAAGGGCAGAACTCCTCCCAGAGCGATGGCCACTCCTCCCAGCAGTCTGCTGAGCTCCTCGTCGCTGCGGACAGCCAACTGTAGGTGCCGAGGGCCGAGCTTGTCCTTCCACTGCCATGAGCCGACGAGACAGTTGGCTTTGTATTTAAAACATGTTATAGAATATATAAAACAATATCAAAGCAAAACATGTTCAAGTATTAAGTAGTAAGTACAGAAGTATTAATTATACAATGATTTGCTGGATAAGCGAATGTAATAAACAAGTGCTGCATACAGATAGTTTGTTATGGAAGCTTTTAACTGCTGTTTAACGTATCAATGACACGTGCCTAATGATATGTCATGTATTGTTGGGCACTTGTAAGTGGGTATACTGAAATTATTAAGCTTTTCTAGTGAATATACTCCATAAGCCTGCGTATCGCGTAGACTATACCACTGGATACAGCACTCTGTGAACAACAAGTTTTGTTAGTAATGACATCTTATATCTTTCTCTCCTTATGGAGGGTGTTAGTGAGTCTTCAGGACATCTGTAAAGCCAGCTGTCTTCCCCATGATCGTGTGAGAGCCTTAAAGGCTCAGGAAACCATTGTAGGTGTTTTGAGTAAACTGGCTGATAAAGGTGTGGCACCATGAATTTAGTTTTTCATTATTTGTAAGCCATGATCATCAAAGTTAGAAAAACTTGGAAAGTTTTTTTTTTTTTTTTTACAAAATATGTTATCATAAAGAACAGGCAGAATATTTTACAGTGTGAAAGATGTGTGACGTGGGCACTGAAAAGTTTTTTTTTCTTAAAACGTACTTTTAAAAAAAAAAAAAGTCTTTTTTTGCTGTTTTTTTTTTTTTTGCTGTTTTTTACTGTTTATCAACAAGACTTAAATCATTTGCAAAAATGTAAGCAGTGAAATTTTTCTATGAACAGTCAGTCTCATGTTTAAGAATAAAAAACTTAAAAAATATATAATGCCAAGATAAAGATTTTGACTTGAGATAATGGATGTGCAGAGAATGTATGTGTAATTATACTGTACTGTATGTCATTTACAAGATGCTTTTGGTTCATGTGTTTCACATCTTTCCTATTTTCATTTAATTTTAATTTTATATTGAATACATGTGGAAATAAATAAAGGTTCACACACAAATGAAGCTATTTATAAAAAAAAAACCTGTATTTTCACCTATTCAATTGTAGGATGACTAAGTAATTAACTTAACCAGCATAAAGGTTCAAGAGGTTTTTTTTTCAGTGTGTTTGAATGTGTAGTAGCTTCAAATCCAATTTTAACTAGTTTAAATATTTAAAAACAAATAAGACTTGTTTTGTTTGTGCAGGAAATAAATATATATTTATTCAGAAAGGACATACATGCATTATCACTAAAATTTTTAGAACTTGCCATGGAAATATTTCTTAACTGATTGAGGAAGATTCTTAAAACTGCAATGCATCTCCAATGCAAAATCTAATGCAATTACACAAGTGTGTTTAATATTCATACTTCAATCCTGCTTAAGGGCTTCCATCCATTATCTTTTACCCGCTTCTTCCATTTTGGGTCACGGGGGTCGCCGGTGCCCATGTCCAGCAATCACTGTGCACCCTGGACTGGTCGCAGGGCCTGTTTAAGGGCTTATTTTTGGAAATCAAAACAAATTTACATTCCTATTGATTTCTACATATAAATTTGGATTTGAAAATCTAATGAATATTTCCACACACCTAAAATGGAAGCTGATAACATGATTGAAAAATATACCTTAAACATGAGTTATCATTTATTATAGTTTACCTTCATTTAACTAGACAAAGATCGTTGAGATCAGATATCTTTTGCAAGGGAGGCCTTGTAATACATGCATGTTTTTGGACTGGAAATCTTGATAAAAGTGAAAAAGAAAAACATTATTACAAGAAAACAAATTCTAAAGCATGCCGATTCATGATGCCAGAAAGTAATTCAGCTACAGTAATTATCAAGATATAAACACACAGTTCTTCAGCATTTGATTTGATTTATAGCCATATTTTACATTTGCAGAACTGCATTAAAAGCACAAGTGAATACTGTTAAGAGGCCCAAGAGGCACAGAAATGGACACTTGAAGACAAACACTCAAACTTTTATAGGAGACAATAATTCTACAACATGAGATGGAAAAAAGGTGAGCCTTCGTCACATCATGTTCATCAGCCTAGGAAGTGGCTGTGAACCCTCTGGCTCTGACTGCTTATGAGAATATGCAGCATCAGAGGTCAGTCCTTGGTCAACCTCCTCCTGCTGGCCATGAAACTGGATCATACCAGGCACCGACTCCACTCCAAGATGGGCCCAATGTGTCCCCATGGAGGCCAACCTGTGTACAAGACCTGTTACTCCCTTCTGCAGCTGTGCATCCTGCAAGGAGTGGAGCCATAAATCCTGGGAACTGTCACCTTCAGCCACCGAGAACAGACAGTTGAAGATACAAGTTGGACCAGATGAAAATGTAGAGATTGACGGGAAGTATTTGTGTTGTGTAAAAATTTTTTTTTCCATAACCGGGGAAATGTGTTCGTTATCCTTCATGTATGAAGTGATGCAATTTGACTTGGTCCTCTTTGTATGAGCCATAAAACATGAGCATGAGTGTTTTATCTGTATATGGTTTTCACATAAGTTTATAAGCAGCATGTGCACCCCAGAGCTTGAGGCTTTTGAACATGGACAGCACATTACCGCTTCTGTTGACCTCGTCATTTTGTCCTAGGGGCAATGGGTGTTAGTGAATGCATTTAGTTAAATTTACCCTTTAGTTTTGTTTTAGAGCTCTCATTCTGGGGATCCCAGTTATGAACTGCAAACATTTTCCGTTATTTTTTAGAGTTTGTTTATTTCTATTGACTGCTTCCTTCTTCAGGGGTCATGAGCAAACCGTTTGAGATGCCCTTCTCGATGCAACCTGGACTTGAACCTGCATCATCATGGGTTTAACAATTACTGCCAACAGTCACTCTGTAGGACTTGAAGGCTTGGGGTCAAGAAACCAGTAGCTGCAGTGTTCCACACAAAGCAGATCATCATGCACCCTTCAGTCTTGATGCAGGTCTGAGCCAACAAGCAGCTTTTTTTTTTTTTTTTTTTTTTTTTTAAACTAAGCCAGACTGTCCCTTTGACACGACCAGAAGTTCAATGTGAGCAGAAGTCAGTTAACCATTCAGTAATTATGAGCTTGACTTAAGTCCACATCTGCAGTGAGTCATTCCAGGCCAGCAGAAAGTCTGCAAGCAGATTACACAGAAGGGTTTATTCAAGGATTGGGAGTGCAGAGGTTAAAGATGGGCATGTGATCAGAAAGTTGCAGGTTCAACTCTGCAGAGTTATAATAAAAAAAAAAAAAAAAAAAAAATTAATATATATATATATATATATATATATATATAAAATTCACCTTAAGCTCCTCCCTCACAGCTTTTGACTTCTAGCACACTTTCTTGGGAGTAAATTGACAGCCTTCTCTTGATCAGGCTCATTCACAGGACAGACAGAACAATTGCCTTCTTTCAGTTTTATTGTTGGGACAAAATCCTCTTCAGTTAAAACATTCAGTACATTTGATTTTTCTGCCAGGTAAAATGTGCAGAGAGTTTGCCGTCCAGAGTTTTGTTCATTTCCTAGGGAAAATCATCAAAGGGCCAAGGGTCAAAGTGTCGCAGTTCTGGTCATCTGAAAATTTAAATATAGAGGAAAAGTTAGAGCTGACACTTTTGCAACATTAACAAATTTAACCATGATTCAGTGGTAGATCTTACCTTTAGGCAGTCCGTTATGGCAGACACCATTGCAGCACCAACACATGCCATCACTTCCATCAACATTCATCCACCTGGGGAAAAAAAAAATATATATATATAAAATTAGACGCATCTACATTTTCAAATTACGTTGTTAACCAAACTGCCCTTTGAGTGTGAGAATGTTTGTTTTCCATGTGTCCCTGATTGACTTGTCCGTCCTGGTCTCACACAGACTGCTGGACATGGGCACCAGTGACTCACAACCCAGAGGGGAAGTAGTGGGTAAAGTGGATGTAAAAGTATACAAGTGCATAATCTGACCACTGGATTTAAGAGTAGTCTTTATGGAATCCTGACCAGTTTAAAACACAATTGCTGTTAATAAAAAGATAAATTTACCTTTTTTGCACATAGTTGCAGGCTTTGTTACCAGGGCTGCTCTTCAGCTGATTTGTAGCTTTGAGTTTGCAAGTTATGTAAATCTTCAAGTAAAAATAAAAATGCACCATTAAAAACCACAATTCATGATATAGCTACAATTAACAAGTTTAAAATGCCTTACAGTGTTACTCAATTCATTCTGAAACAGGAATGCGTCAAACTTGAAGTGAATCGAGTCGGCCGTTGTTCTGGGCAGGAAGAGTGAATGCAAGCCGCCGTCTTTTGCGTCAATGAAGCACCTGTTTGAGAGGAAACTGTTAAAGGCTGGAGCAGTGCATCAGTTGCCTGAAAGTTTCCCTTTGTGAACTAGCTCAGAGCGCTCTCACCCATGGTTTTCAATGATGTAGTATCGTGGCACAGACGTGGGGTCAGGGGTCAGTGTGACGACACAGTTGTCAACAAAGAGCCACTTTGAATCAGGGCCAGAGTACCACGCCTTCATGTGCAGGGGCTCACCGAGGAGGAAGGTGTTGGAATGCCGCTCATTCAGCCAGTCCCCTACACGCAGGGAAGAGAAAAAGTACTAAGGGCACATTTAATGCGTGAAGCCAGACCTTCAGCACCACACCTACCAGTCATCAGTTTCAGAGAGAAAGGAGATCCTCCCACAGTGGAGAATTTTAGAGGTGGATTCTCCTGAGTCATGCTGCTCACGGTGTGCTTCCTGTCAATCAAGAGGGCTTTTAAAGGAGGAATCTTAAAATCCACTTTGTTCCCACCAACAAAAAACAAACATTACCTTTTGTAGTGGCAGGAAACTGGAACGACAGCTTCACCCATCCTTGTAATTCCAGGATAACCCAGAGCAGGAGAGAACCTCAGGTTGTTGGAGTAGATCACATCACCGTCAGATATCTGAAAACACCCAAGTTAGAAGCTTCATTTCTGAACGTTAAACCTAACAAAGAGTGAAACTCACCGTTAGTTTAGAGCCACAGTCTTGCAAGTTCGCTTCAATGACATACTCGTGGTCACCCACAGGAACAGCCTGGCACGGACTGCTCTTTGAAAACTTGGCGTCTCCCAGAAACAGCTCTCCTGGTGAGATCAGGTGCCCGGTCCTGTAGAAGTCAGCCTGGATAAAGATGATCATGGACACCTCGGTGCACTGAACACGAACAGTGGGTTTGCTGCTGGGGTTTGCTCTGCTGTTGTCCATTTGAGGGAACGATTTATACTCCCTTCCTTCAGCGTCGATCATCGGACCCTCTTTGAGAGTCCTGATGGCATCTGTGAGCGCAGAGGCCAAACAAACGAGCACCAGAGAGACTAAAGCACCTGAAGGCCCCATTGTGCTCCAAACAGCAGACTCTACACCTGAACCCAAGGAGAGTGGAACAATGTCAACTGTAGCACAGGAAGTTGGAAACACCTTTAAATAAGCCTCCCAGGTGCTGAAGAAGCTCCAGAACGAGAACACAGCTGGAAACAATCACCCGTTAGCTGATCACATGAACCCTTTCAAGCTCCAATTTTGGCAAAAGTAAACACGTTTTACATTAATTATTTTCAGAGATGCTTATTTTTGTGTACATCAGCTAATGATAATGAACCCAAGCAGCATCTTGTCCCTTTCAGTGCATTTACTTATTTACTTTATAGCACCAACAAAATGCTCTGCATGCTAATTGGGATGAGCATTGTGAATTTATGTGAAGAGACTTGGATCGACAGTATTTTCATGTATATCTGTCAAACATTTATTTACATTTTCTTCTGTACTAGCTTGTTAGAGAAGGTTTCTAAGTGTCTTGCAGGAAATTTGACAACTCCTCTGGGTTAGATGTGACACTTCTAAGACCAGATAAAGATTTACTTTGTACCATTTCCATAAGATCTTCTCAGTGGTGCCTCCAGAAATGTTTGGGTGGTGCCAAAACCAAAAGCCAAAAGAGAATTTGAGAAAGTCTCTATTGTTGATTTAAAAACTTTGGCAACGTGAGCGTTTAGGAATTGCCGACTGATGTACCTCCGCTTCTTATTTAACAGGTGACAGACTGATCATGTGATGTGCAGAGAAGAGATAACATGGAGTTCCACAACAGTCCAGTTTTAATGTGTTTGTGTCTTTACAGACACATGGAATGTCTTAAATTGTCCTCTTCCCTAATGTACATCTTTACATTTAAGGACTACATCAAGCAAAACATGCACTAAAAACAAGCTCTCAAATTTTAAGTCACCACTTCTAATGATTTTAAGAACATCTTTTATTTTCTTGTCACTGTGTTTTTTTGTAAACAGAAAGCAGGTTATTATAAATGTCCATAAATGGGATTAAAAAGACAAAAAGCAGACTTGAACTGTACATTTTACTAAAGCATCAAAACCAGCCTGATCAAGAAAGCTCATCAGAGACTCTACTTTCTCAGACAGCTGAGGCGAGCTGGTCCTCACCTCCTTCTACAGGTGTGCAGCGGAGAGCATCCTGTGCTCCAGCATCAACGTGTGACATGGAGGCTGCACAGAAGATGTTGGAGTCTCCACCATCACAGATATCTACACCTCCAGATGCAGGAAGAGGGCCACCTGCATCGTGAAGGACCCCACTCACCCAGCACACACACTTGTTGCCCCATTCCCCTCAGGCAGAAGGTTGAGGAACATTAAGTGTAGAACCATTAGGCTGAGGAACAGCTTCTACCCTGAAGCTGTTAGACTCATAAATATCTAACCAGAATAATCACTGTGAAAAAAAAAATCACTGTAATGCCACTTGATTGTTGATGTGTGCTGCTGATTATCCATGATGCTGATCTCATGCTGCTGATTTATTTCATATTGCTGTGTTCATTCGTCCTCATCTGCTCACACAGACTCATGTTTGTGCTGCTGTTGTTTGGTGCATTGTTTTGTACTATTAGTTAGTATGTTTTGTACATATTTCTTAGTTCATGTCTGGGATCTTACTACTGTTTTCCATTACAGTTTGTATTTTTGTTGGATGTAACTGAGACCCTGTGCACATAGTTTTGTTCCACCACATGTACCACATGTGATGTGAATGACAATAAAGACACCTTGACCTTGAAAACACTTAAACTTAATGCTTGTCCTCTCCTGAATTCATATTTAGAAAAAATAAAAGTCCTTATTCAGGGGACTACATTTAATTGGTTTATAATTTTAAACATCCACTTATGAGGACATCACATTTTGGGTTGTCTAGACCAAAATATTAAATTTTACTCTACAAGGACCTGGTGTGCACATACAAGGGCATTATACTGCCACCCAGTGGTGGCAGGTGTGTATAACACATTACAAGTAAGCTTCAAAATAACAGACAACACAGAAGTTCAGATGGAAACTCCTGATGCAAATTTTGTCCAGGTAAAACAAAAACAAAACAAAAAACCCCCAAAAAAACAATTCAATTAAATTTTATGTTTGATTCTTGTTCAGATATGGATAAAAGTGTTCAAACCATGATGTCCACTTTTGTGTTCAGAGTGACTTAGTTTTTGTTATTTCTGTTGTTAACTATTATATGGTATCATAAATGCTAGTAATGCAGTTCTTTGTTTTCGTCTTTTCCCTCTTCAGGGGTCGTCACAGAGTCATCCTCCACCTCACTCTGTCCTCACTCCATCTACCTCCATGTCCTCTCTAACTGCATCCATATTCATTCAACCTTTATTTAGACAGGTTAATCCCATTGAGCCTTGAGGACTCATTTACAAGAGAGACCTGATTTCAACAAAGAATGATGACAACAATGGACAATCATAAAAGAGGCATGCAGATTTTTTATAAACAAATTAAAATAAGATGGCAAAAATAGCAAAAAAAAAAAAAGCTAGATCATAAGGCAAATGTAGAAAACTGCAAACAGGAACATGTCTGCATTGGTCCTAGCCATCTTCTCTTTGTCTTTTTACTGGCAGTTGCATTTCTAACATCCTTCTACCAGTATACCCACTGTCCCTCCTCTGGACATGCCCAAATCATCTCAGTCTGGTCTCTCTAACTTTATCTCCCAGTTGTTCAACCTGTGCTGTACCTCTGATGATCTCATTCCTAATCTTATCCATCCTTAAGGAGAACCTCAACATCTTCATTTCTGCTACTTCCAGTTCTTTCTCCTGTCTTTTTGTCAATGCCACTGTCTCCAGACCATATAACACAGCTGGACTCACAACTGTTGTAAACTTGAAGTCCCTCGATCTGTCCACTTATGTGGTCAGAGGGACTTAGTTTTATTTTTGTTGAAAACCATAAATGCAGTTACTGGGGTTAATTGATGGAGACAACTCAGAGGTAGAAGATTTGTCAGACATAAATGATCCTGTGCGGGATGCTGAATATCAACTCCCACAACAGGACCATGCAGCAGTGAGGAGGACAGTAGTGGGTGTGAGGACCCCATTCCACAGCCCCTATCAGGGGACGTAAACATCACCATGATGAATATGAAGGATATCATTCAGATTGAAACATTGCCTCACACTCCCAGACGTTGCTCTCGGACACAGCAAGATGAGGCTAATGTCTCAAACAATGTCCCTGATGACCATGACTGAAGACATCAGGACCAAGGACAGTCCAAAAATAAAAAAAAAGAGCATGGGATGCGATGGAACTGTGCAAGACAGAGAGGGCTGGACCCCACTGGACTACATAATGATAAAGATTGGATTCAAATGATTGCAGATTGCTCTAATGCTACATCACTGGTTAGAAGAGGGGCCCCACTCAGCTCACCAACTGATGGACTTGATCACTTTTTGGTGCATGTATTTTGATGTCTTGTATCCTGCAATCAGAATGTACTAGTCCAAAGCCTTGAGATTCCCTGCCATCACTGAACGCTCACACGTGACAGATTTTTCAGACTGAGATGATGACTCGTCGATAGAATGATGAGCTACTATCACATCCATATAAAGAAATGGACCATCAGATGCTAATGCACTTTACTGATCTGGGAACTGTACCACAAAGTGGTATGTGGCACACCAAAGAAGAACATCATGCAGTTCCTTGCATTTCATATGGAAGTGGCCATGACCTTCTTGGCCCACCGTGACAATGACAACTATGACTTTGTTCAGAGTTGGAAGAGGACCCAGATTTTTTAGTCTATGGGGAAAAAAGCACCCAGTGTCTCAGTGCACAGGAGGGCTAATGTACATCTACCAAAGGCGGTGAACTTGAAGAATGCAGCACGCTGCAGAGCAAAAGGCTGCTCAGGGAAAACTCGCATGCATTGTGTTGGATAATTTTAAAATAATGTTATCATTTAAAACTGTTTTAGACTTACTATTTGCTTAAACCTTCAGTTGTGTGAACTTAAGCCCACTTCATTTCTTCCCACGTGCTGAAACACCAAACACCCAGAGTTTCTGTTTGCAGCTCATGTGTGTGTACTAAGATCAGACCTTGGGTTTTTAAACAACAGATGGCTGTTTAGTTCGGACCTTGCTATCCTGCCTCTGTATCAATGTCTCTGTTGCACCCCGTTTAATCATATTTTGTGTAATATTTGTGTCTCTGCTGCGCCAGAGAAGCTGAATCCGCTGCCTTGTTTCCCACACCCACTTCACCTAAATGCGAGCGTCACAGGCGGAGGGTCGGACTTCTCTTGACGTTTGGTCGAGCAGAACTCCCCCCTCTGCAGAGGACTCTTATCAAAACTTACGCTTTGTCTGGTGAATTCTTTTATAAAAAGGTGTTAAAAAAAATAAAAATAAGTGTTGACAGCTTTTCCTGTGGGAGCAGGGGCAACCCCCCCTACAGTTGCATCATCCATGGCAAAGTTTGTGTTTAGTGAAACCTTGTTGGAATTCCTTACATTAGCACTAGTTTGTAGCTCAAGTTTAGTGCGATAAGATCCAAGTCAGGCAACTAAACATTTCCGCTTGTTAAATCTTTAAGTTTCAATTTTGCATGCGGTTGACATTTGAGTTTCAAGATTTTAAACAGGAATTTGGATATTCAAGTCAAGAGTTTATGCAGTTTTTAATTTTTTTTAATTTTTTATAAAAAGATCAGTTCATCCTCAATACCGCTTTTAAATCTACCTTTTTATCAAGGCATTAGTTTTATGGTAAAGCTGCAACTTGTATAGTTGCCCCTTTTAGGCACTGGTTGAACCAAATATGAGAAGGAAACAAAAAACTTGAAAGTCAAATCTTTAAATCTTTATTTTGGGTCAGTAGTATCTGAAAGGGCAGCATGAGTAGAGTTTACAGAGGCGGTTGTAGTCTTGACCAGAAGGTTTTTGTCGATGTGATTGGAGACTGTTGCGTTTTTGTGCACCACAGACTTTGTGTCCAGCTCCAGGGGATGTTCCGGTTCAGTTTGCTCTTCAGCTCCTTTCAGTTCCTCTTCCATTTCAGCTCCCAGTTCTGGTTCAAAGTCAGGGTGCAGTCCTTTCAGAGCTGGAGGGAAATTAAAGATTTAGTTTAAGATTCAGTACAAAGCTCAGACAATTTGACGTTCAGCTCACCAAAACGGTTTAGTCCACTCCTCCAGTAGCTGCCGTACAGTGCAGGTCTGTGGATGTTGTAGAGAACTTCAGGGAGCTCCTCTGCAGGCAGGGGGAAACTTTTCCTTTGTGGCAGAATAGCCAGTGGACCCAGTCTTGCTTCATGGTCCCACACTGCAAGACACTTAATATTTAGAATATAAAATTTAGACAAAGCAAACCCCACCAGGACAAACTCGTCACCTTTATTAGTCTTCAGTCCAGTCCTCCACACGTGTTCAGATTCTGGCAGACTTCCAAAAGCTCGAGGACTGAACACACCAGAGACTGACTTCGTGTATGCCTCGTTTTGGTTTTTACAGTAACCACACAAGTAGTCGTTTCCATCAGCAGAACGCCACCTGGAAGGAACAGTTAGTTTGCAGCCCACCCACTCAGCAAGTCACACGCAGACGTCATCCTCACCTTCCATTGATGAAAGTGCAGGCCTTGTTCGGTGCTTCGGCATCGTTCACCGGCACAGCATTTAGGTGGCAAGTGATGTAGAGCTGCAAGGAGAAAAGAGTTCCATTATAACTTGTTGAAAGTTGTGCTTTCCAGTGAAAGACCCACCGGATTATGGTCATCGTTGTGAAAGAGCCCCACCTGATTATGGTCATCATTATGAAACTTGAAGGCTTCAATGGTCATCTGCAGTTTTTCCTCATGAAGTCTGGATAAGAAGTGGGCCTTGGAGTCTGGAAGCTGAGAGTCAACCAGGCACCTTTAAAAGTTCAAAAAAAAAAAAAAAAAAAAAAAAAATTTTAAGACAGAAGTGTAGTTGAGGAACAATAAGTCCAAAGTTTTAGTTCAGTTCTTACCCATCTTCAATGAAGATGTATTTAGGATCAGAGTAGATGTCTGGCTGAAGCGTGGCCACACAGCTGCTCAGAAACACCCTGAGCCCCATGTGATGTCCGACTCGCACCGAGGCCTCCAGGTTGATGGGTTCTCCGAGGTAGAACATGTTGGAAACCCTTTCATACAGCCAGTCATCTGGAAGGAACAGCAGTGAGCAGAAGTTACAGCTCAATGGTTGTAGAAGTAGAAACCAAACTCACCGGACATGATCTTCAGGTTAAACTCCAAAGTTTCCACTGCAGACTGAGTTGATGTGAAGGGAATCCAGGTTGGCATGAGGGAAGAACTGGACAGGCTGTACTTCCTGAGGGGAAAGAAGCAGAGTTAGCTTGAAGAGCTCTGAACTGGTTTTCACAAATTAAAGTGACAGACCTTTCATAGTGACACTCCACTGGAATTACGGCCTCATCCATGCGAACAATTCCAGAAGGAGATTCCATGGGAGAGTAGATGAGGAGGTTCGTGTAGACCAGAGAGTCCGCAGTCATCTGAGACATTAAATCATTAGAAGCCAATAGTTAAGACAGCCCCCCCCAAAAAAGGAAATTAAATTACCCAATGCCTGGTGCCACAGTCATCCAGTCCAACAAGAATTCTGTACTCCTCTGGTGATGTAGGCTCAGCCCTGCAGAAGTCATGGTTCTCCACACCGAGGTGCAGCTGGTGGCTGTCGACAGGGGCTCCAACTGCAAACATGTCGGCTGCGATCACAACCTCCAGAGAGTCCGGGTGGCAGATCACAGTGACCGTGTTCACCTGCTGCGGCTCCTCCAGCAGCTGCTGCTGCTGCTGGGCCACATTATGAGAAGACCTCTGTGGAGGATGGGCTCTTTGTAAAGAAGCAGCATGCTGGTGGAAGAGCGCTTGGGAAAAAGCAAGAGATGAACCAGTCAGACAGATCCCTAAAAGGACGCTGATCCAAAGCATCGAAGTCTCCATGAGGTCTCAGACGGCAGCAGCTACCAGGTTCAGACTGCAAGTGTTTCCTTCAGACCCACAAGACAGTGATCCAGGTAGCACAGGGGCCCAATTTAAACCCTGGCAGAGCCACACCTGAGTCCAATCATCTAATCAGCTGCTAATTGGCTCCACACTCTCTGAGGTCACGTTCAGCTCAGTTCAGACAAGAAACATCAAACACATGCACGTTTTTATTTTTCTGTTTTAAAATGCCACAAATGAAGACAAAGCTTCCACTGATATGTTTTTGTGTATCAAACATGTTTAGCTGATAATTAGTCATTTAGGATGCAATTTTACAGCCTAGATATAAATTTGATTTTATTAACTTCTGCTTTTATTGTTAAAAAAAAAAAATCACCATTTTGACATGTTTGTCAATAGTTTTATAGTAGTTTATGTTCAAAATCTATATCTAGGACAAGCGATTGATTTAACTTATTTTTAACTTTTTGAAAGTGGACGAGCTCTCAACAGTAAAGTCACATATTTATTTAGTTTTTTGAAATGTGACAGGTTTTTGTGCATCGTTTAACTTTTTTTTTTTTTTAATCCTTGTGCCTTGGCTAAAGAGCTTCATCTGGATTAAACACTTGATTAGAAATAAATACAAACCCCATTCCTCCTATTGTTTCTGTTTTAAACAAATAGATGAGCTTTTTGCAAAAGTGAAGGGCACTTTCATGCCTCTCATCAGACACAGAACATGGGATCATCTTTACTTGCTTGACTTTTTAAAAGTAAAGATGGAGCTCGGATATATAAAAAAGTGAGTGATCAATGTTAAACCATTAATGTCAGGAGGATAATAAGAGTTTGATGGGTTCATAAATTCTCAAGTTTGTTGTTTTGACTTCAACATTAAGGTGCATCAGATTAAACACAGGACATGATTTCACCGTCTGCTTTGAAGCTTCTCTTCCTGTTCCGAGGTGAAGAACAATATATATAAACTGTGTGGGAGTGGAGGGTGGGGGTGTCCAAAACCTCTCCCAAGACAAAGAAGAGCTGTGGACGACCATGACCACGAGCTCTGACATGTTCTGTTTTATAAACTCAAAAGCCATGAAGACAAATCCAGTGTATCTGCTGCTTTTGGTCCAGATCTCTGAGGGTAAGAATCAAACTGTGTCCTGATGCTTGCAGGTTTACGTGCACACAGCTGAGTCGTGTGCACGTTTATGAAGCATTCACTCTATTGTGATCCACTTTTCTTCCGTATGTTTTTCTGCATGATTCTTATCCCAGTTTTCAAGTTATTTCAACAAATCACATCAAAACGTTCAGCTCTTTCAGGACAATCCTGCTTTGACTTTTGGTATTGGTGCAACTTTAGCTTTTTGAAATGTTTAGTCTTTTCTGTCACTTTTTTTTCTCATAGAAAAGAAACTGAGCTCATTTTATATCCTTCAAATCTTTAAATCTGTTTTCAACATTTTACTGCTCCTTTCACATTTTGTTCTGGTTCAGCTTCCTTGTGCAAATTTTAACTTGTTGCTCCTTTCAGCTTCTTTCTGTTAACTACAACATTTTTGTGCTTCTTCTAACTTCTTTCTGCTAATTTCAGCTTGTTATGCTCCTTTAACTTTATTTCTGCACGATTCAGCGTTTTCTACTATTTCAGCTATTATTTAGCAATGCTATGATAATTTAAGCTTTTTCAACTAATTCCACATGTTTTACATTCATTTCAACTTTGTTCAGCCTGATTCAGCAAAAATGTACTCTCTCCACTTCCTTCTGGTAATTTCAACTTCTTTGTGCTTTTTAAGCAACTTTTCAGCTTTTTTTGTTGCTAATTTCAGCTTTTTCAGATTATTTCTTTGGTGCTAATTTCTGCTTCTTTCAACCTAATTGGCCAAAAGTGTTCTTTCTACTTTCTTATGCTAATTTAAGCTTGTTCTACCTTTTCAGCTACATTTTTAGATACATTTTAGCTAATTTCAGATAAATTCAAGTTTTTGTGGTAATTTCTGTTACTTTCAGCCCAATTAACGTTTTACTGCTAATTTCAGCTTGTTATGCTCCTTTCAGCTTTTTTTCAGGTAGTTTCAGATTTTTCTGCTGTTTCTGGTACTATTTAGCTGTTTTCATGCTAATTTTAGCATTTTCAGCTAATTATTTTCTTCTAATATAGGCTTGTTCTTTAATTTCAGCTATATTTCAGCATTTTTTTTATAGCTAATTTCAGCTGTTTTTCAGCTAATTCTTCTGCAATAAGCATCCACACTGCATTTTTGCAGGAAATACAAATTCTCTAGTTGTGTTTGACTTAATTTTAATAGGATTATTGGGACGATGAGGCTGTTTCAGTGTTTTTATTTCCTTCCTCCTTCAGCCTGTGCAGAGTTTAGACGTCTGACAGAGGGTCAGTCTCTGGGGCTCTCCTGCACCCCTCAGCGGGGCCGTGGTCCCCTGAGGGGCCTCCACCTGTACCACCACGGGGCTCAGACTCACACCACCCTCCTGTCCGTGGCTGAAAGTGGGGCGATCAGGGTTGACCCGAAGCGTAGGGCACGTCTGCAGCTCAGCGGAGACCTGACCTCACCCGGGGTCAACGTGAGCATGTCTCACCTACAGCCGAGTGACTCGGGACTTTACGAGTGGGAGCTGAGCTACAGAGAGACGAACGGATCAGAGCAGACCATCCTGAGTGGACACAAGACCCTCCTGCTGGTTGAAGGTGCAGGTTTATTGTTAACACAGAGTGCTGCAGTTTAAAATGAGGCCCCGGGTTCTCATTTACAGTGACCCGTTTGAGTTGCAGGGAGAACATGCCGCTGCTCTCACCGTCACATCCAGCTGCTCCTGACCATCTCTGCAGCTGCAGGACTTCTTCTGCTGGCCTTCAGCTGCATGATTATAGAGAAATGTGTGAGTATGTTTTTGTTTTAGAGCACATTAACACAGAATAACCTGATTAAAATGTTTCTTTAATGTTTCTGAATGAATGTTTTAAAATGTTTTGTGCTGCACACAATGAAAAATGACAGCTGCACAAGTGATTATACAGAGCTGATTATCAACATCTGTCTTTTTCCCATAGCTAACAATGTCAGACTTTAAATTCAAAAAAGTTACAGAAAACGTAATTTGAAAAGGTTGTGATAAATTGCAACCTCAAAATGTCTACAGCATTCTTAAGATAAAATAATAATAATAATAAATAAATAAATAAAACAACCAGACACTGAACAGGAACTAACTTGGCTAAAGCTTCTCTAAGATAATTGCATATTTTCTCACAATAAATTAATTTGCAGATCTATCACAGTAATTAATTATTTTTATGTTGCAACCTTTTTAATTAGACAATAAATGCCTCAGATAGTTTTATAGAATAAACATTTTATAAATAAAAAGCTGTGTGTTGTAGGTAAAGGCGAGGCATCCCCCCACCCCGCTGCCTCACTCTCCCATCTATGAGGAAATGAACAGGAAGGAGAAGACCACCGGAAGCCCCCAGAATAACCGTGAGGCCCCCGCACACCTAGAGGAAGTCAACTTCCCCGTTTACTCCAACCCAGACATCATCCAGCAACCGCAGGACAGCTACTACGCCTGCCCCAGGAAGCTCAGGGAGCACGTCTGACGTCTACCTGACAGGAAATGACATCACACAATGATTGACTTCTTGTTTTCTATTAGAAAATTATTATTACATGCATTAATAATTGCTTGGAACTGACTGGAAATCAGAAAAGCAACTTTTACTTGTTGTTATATAACGTCCACCAGGCCCCTACTCTTAGGTGTGTCTGAATTATCAGATTTTCATGTCTGACTTATTATTGAATAATGATAAAGTTATAGGGTTTAAATATTCATGTAGATGTTAAAAGTGATAGCTTAAGCATAGTCTTTAATAATTTAACTGAGTCAACTGGTTTTACTCAAGGCAGCACGGTGGCGCAAGTGGAGCTGCCGCCTCTCAGCGCCCCAGTTCAAGTCCCGTCCGGGGGCCTTTCTGGGTGGAGTTTGCATGTTCTCTCCGTGCATGCGTGGGTTTTCTCTGGGTGCTCCGGTTTCCTCCCACAGAACAAAAACATGCATGTTAGGCTGATTGGTAACTCTAAATTGTCCCTAGGTGTGAGTGAGTGTGTGAATGATTGTTTGTCTCATTTGTCTTTATGTGTCCCTATGATGGACTTACGACCTGTCCAGGGTGTCCCCCACCTCTTGTACAGTGATGGCTGGATATGGGCACCAGTGAGCTCCGCGACCCGAAAAGGAAGAAGCGGGTAAAGAAAATGGATGGATGTTTAAATGTCCACACATCCACACATCCGGTACTCATTCTAATCATCACACTCTTGATCTGGTTATAACATAAAGGTTAAGTACTTATTAATACATCCTCAAAATTCTTTCCTGTCTGATAATTTTTAACAACCTTTGAGTTTACATTAACTGACTACACAGCCACTGAGCGTAAATTTCATTATAGTAGACGTTTATCAAAGAACGCTGTAACTAAGTTTAAATAATCTCTCCCATTTTTGTCTTCCTCTGCCTTGCAAAGTAATGCCACAGAGAGCAGTGACTTAGATAATGTTGTTGATGATTTTACAACTTCAATGCAAACTTCACTTGATAAAATTGCTCTGCGATATCAGAAGAAGCTGGCTCCTTGGTTCAATTCTGAGTTACATACTTAAAAAACGGGCAGCTAGGAACCAGGATAGAAAATGACGCTCCACCAACAAGGAAGAATTTCATTTAACTTGGATAGCGTGCTAACATATAAGAAAGCTCTCCATAAAGTTAGAACTGTATATTATTCATCTTTAATAAATGAGAATAAAAAAAAACAGGTTTCTGTTCAGTACTATAGATAGACTAATTAAAAGTCCCATCTCTGTTAAACCATACTACAACTATAAGAAGTGATGACTTCATGAGATTCTTTATAAATAATTTTTTTTAAATGAGAAAATTCACAACACCCTTCATACTACTGCATCTGATTCCCTGTCAGATGAGGCAGCTTTAAAAATGTCACTAGAGCCTGATTTATGTTTGGACTGTTTGTGTCCTCTC